TGTTTAGTTAAAGTGGATATATGGCAATTTTTTATCTAAAAAGGTTATATATAGCTATTTACCCACCATGATTCATTTGGTGGATTATTACAGATTGATTTTCGTTTTAATGTTTTTTTATCACGACACGTTTTATACAGCAGCTGCAATTCTTGGAATCTAGATTGAATTTCAGGAAAACAAAATTAGAAGGAAGATCATTGTTACATACACAAAGATTCAAATTATTGATGATTATGTTTAGTGAAGATATATTATTTTTTAGCCTAAGTTACAAAAAAAAAGATATATTATTTTTTGAACCTTGAACTAATTATTATTACCTTTTTCTTTCCTATATATTATAGTACTTACATAAATAATGCCAGGTTGAAAGCTACCCCCACTAAAATATTTCTGTTTTTAAACAGTGTGTTGGTATATAATCTCAGGATCTTGTAACATGAGATTTTGAAAATCTAACTCGGACCCATACAGGTTCATATCATGGATCAATCATATCATCGTTTGAAATTGTATATATGTATTTTCAATGCTACGTATGAAGAAAACTAATAGCGTGTGGGCTTACACAACTAACTATTTATGCGACATGTACAACATACAATGAAGCAATGGTTGAAACAAGTGAGTTTTACTGGGTCTAAACAATTGAATGCTGCGAATTTCAATAATTATGTGGTGGGGCATTCTTCTTTTTTATTGGTATAGACTTCTATACAAACAACCAAACAAAAAGAAAGATTCTCAAAAAAACTTCAATATACAAAACAGATTTTAATTGATAGCATCGCTTGCATAATTGAAAAGTGACAAAATAACAGAATAAAAGCCAAGTAAGTTGTGATCATGAAGCTTAACTAGAGAGCTAGTATTGTACTAACTCGTAAGAGATCAATGCTTAAGATTGATTTAAAGAAAGCTTAAGATTGATCAATGCTTAAAGTTGATTTAAAGAAACTTTTGACTCTATAAACTGGTCCTATATCGTTCTGATTCTTCGAGCTCTGAGTCTTCCTTATTCTTTTGTAAACCTGATCTACTAATGCATCTCCACAACTCGCTTCTCGGTAACTGTAAATGGTGAATTTTGTGGTTATTTCACGAAGGCTAGAAGATTTGAGACAAGGTGATCCTTTGTCACAATATCTCTTCGCTCTTGCCATGAAGGTTTTCTCTCAAATGATAAACAAGGATTTTGCAGCAGGTACGATTGGTTACCACCCATCTGCCTCAAACCCAAGTGTAACTCATCCAGCGTTCGTGGATGACATAACGATCTTCTTTGATGGTCACTAAAGTTCCCTACAACAAATATTGCCTACTATGGATCGGTTTGCATCTTGGTATGGTTTGACAGTGAACCGAAGCAAGACAGCGTTATACACAGCAGGATTGAATCAGACGGAGGTCCCAGACATGACGAGTCTCGGATTCTCCATTGGCTCATTATCTGTTAGATACTGAGGGCTCCCTCTCATGCATCAGAAGCTTAAAGTATGCAACTATAGACCACTTCTAGACCAGATAAGATCTCAATTTTTCTCCTGGTCTTCTAGAGCTTTTTCCTTTGCGGGTGGTAGACAACTGATTGGGTCTGCCATCTATGGTTATTTAAATTTTTGGTTTTCAAGCTTCATCCTCCCTAATGAATGTATTAAGCAGGTAGAATCGCTTTGCTCACGATTTCTATGGAATGGGAACATAAATGCTAGAGCAGCAGAAAGAGTCTCATGGACAAATTGTTGCTTACCGAAATCTGAGGTAGGTCTAGGCTTACATGATCTGCACATTTAGAACAAAGCCTTATGTCTAAAGCTGATTTGGCTTATATTCACAGAAAATGAACCATTGTGGGCGAGCTGGTGCAAGGTACACAGAATCAAGATGTTTGGACAAATGTTGTATCTGCAACACGTATAGGGAGACAAGAGACCATTTGTTTCTTCGGTGCAGATTCAGTGAATAGATTTGGCTTCTCATTACAAAGAGGCGGGGATACAATCAGCTTCTCTTCCATACTTGGACTGTCTTTATAGACTGGCTTAAACTAAAAGACAATGTCTCCTCTTTAATACTTCGGCGTCTGGTTGCTCAAGCAATAATCTATTCCATCTGGTGGGAACGCAATAACAGACTTCACAACTTCATCTCCATGCCTGCAAACTGCTACATATAAGAAGATCGACATACTTGTTCGAAGTGCTATTCTAGCAAGAAAGGAGCGCAAGAAATTTCACCATCTTATGCTATTATGGTTGAAGTATGACTGATTCATTAAGTGACTGAAGTTTTCATGGCTAGCTATCCTCTGTTTTTTTCTTTTTTGGCTTAGGATTTCTATGACGTTTTAAATCTTTGTATATACAAACAGCCTCATTTTAGTAATGAAATTCAAATATTTAGCAAAAGAAAAAAACTAACTCGTAAACGGTCTAAAACTTCACTTGTGCGTTGGACCATTCAAAGACGACTATAAAGAAGTAGTCCCTACAGAATGATACGGTTGCAATATTTCTAATTTTCCAAATGGGCCCGCCGGCATGCATCCGTTTGGGGTCCACTGAAATACGTATGCCGGCTATATGCATCGCAACCGATAAAAAGCATATTGGGAGACAAAAGACAAACATTTTTCTTTTGTCGCACTTATTATAGAGTATTGTTACTATTGTACATAAACAGGTGTAATTTTGTTCAAAAATAAAAAATAAAAAATGTGTAATCAAAATTTTCCAACAAACGTGAAGTAATTCATATAAGATTCAGATGAACACTTTGGAGTTCGAATGGAAGAAGGGACGTATTTTTTGTTTGTGTGATATTTTTTGTTTATTAATTATATTTCTGTAATTATTATCTTCGTTGGTTTTTCTCCTCGCCGATGTTTAGTTGTTTAGATCTATCGTTGGCTTAGTTATAAACATTTTCTAGTTTATTTGTTCATAGCGTCTGGCTCAAACTTCAGATTTAAACAAAACTTCGAATTCTGTGATAAGGCAGTTTCTAAATTGGAAAGGATACATGTTCAAGGATACATATAGTCCAATGAACCAAACATAGTCGTATATAATCTCTAAATATTGTCATCAAGTCTTAATCCAAGTTGGTAATTAGTATGCTTGTGTTGTGCACTTGTTCTAAACTCTCATCACATAGAAATATATGGTTCAGAGAAAAGGTTTGCAAGTTATAAATAACAATATATTGAAATAAAGGTAGGCAATGATGGAGTAAACGTGATAGGTATGACATGACCCCACGATGGCGAAGAAATGAAAGTAAAAACATTAGAAAAAGTACCTAATGATAGAAGAACAGGTTGTTCCCCAAATCTGAAAGCAAAAAAAAAATATTTTGAAGAATAATATACATATAAAAGATAAAGCTGCAGATTTGAAATTGTCTTGTAACTTTTGAATTTTGATGTTTTGTTTGGTCAACAACTGATAAGCATGCATGACCATGGTAATTGGTAAGCATTCTCTCTTTACTTCACTGCTTGGTATATTCATATATTAATGGCTTCACGTTGTTTTTACTAATTACATTATTTTATATAATGTGAACATTTCACATAACACATAACTGAAATTTAATTTAGACAATACAGTTCTTGGGGCATAATATGGTTGATTTAAAGATTAACAACATGAATCAATGAAGATTCACATTTCAATTATGTAATTTCAAACTTTTTTTTTTTTTTTTTTTTTTTTTTATAACCCAGTATCCGACCACTAAGCGTGATCGACTAGCCCACCGGGCCTAAGCCCATGCCATGACAGGATTTTTAAGCGTCCACCTAAACCCATGCCATGACAGGATTTTTAAAAGATTATGGCATTGATTGGTAACCATGCGGAATGGCGGAATGGCTTATGAAACGCGATTCCGCAAGAATTTTGCCAATCAACAAAATGTTGCGGAATGAAAAAAAAACGCAAAAACGCAAGTTTGCGTTTTTGCTGACAAAAATATAAAGAGAAATTTTATTAAGTGGAAAAGTGAGTTTTAGTAGATTATGGTGGAAAGATTTAC